ACTGGGAAACTCTAGATGTGAGTCCTGCATAGTTCATGAGAGAAATGCACAGCAGCAGCTGGACTACCAAGAGCTGAGTGGCAGGCTGTTCTCCAGAATCTACCAGTGCTGTTCTTTTCCTCTGTGGACACCGACTGTTGATCAAAACTTGAGTGGGAACTGTTACATAACACAATATTGCTATAATACCCCCATCCGGAGGCAGTAATTTCCTTTGGCTGAATAGCAGTGTTTCTTTTTATGATTAGGCACAAGTTCCTCATGTCAAAGCTTATGAAAATGGGGCCATGGAAATGCTTTTCTCAGCCTTAAGTGTTTAAACTCCGCAATGTACAACAGTCTCACATCCACTGATAAAGAACAGCAACCTGTTCACCAGCACTGAGCAGATTTTCCGTCCCCTGCGTCACAAAGGCTTCCTGAGAAAACGCCACTAAGCTGACCTCATCACCCTAAAAATTCTATGCAACCTAATCTTAAACAAACTAAATAATTACCTATCAAATAAAACCTACCATTAACAATTAGTTCCTCCTTAAAGGCAGAATAACAATCACCCTAGCAAAAATCACAACTGCGAAGAGAGGTGTAGCCGCCAGCTACAACTTAGCAAATGCGAGATGACTATTAACCTCAGGTAAACCTTGGGACACAGAATACATAACCCTAGATCTAAAATAAAACACCCCAGAGATCCCTCTCAGCTAGAGAGTGTGCAGTGGTGGCATCTAACGCTTGTACAACTTGCAGCACGGTCAATATACACGGTGTTGTCTAGGTAAATCATTTATAATAACCACAAAAATTAAAAGTTTGGTTCTTGTACATAGTTAACACAGGGAAAGAAGGCGAGTATCTTAACTGGCTAAATAATCTTGGAAGAATTACTGTTAGGGTAGCTGAGCTTCAGAGGAGCACGGTGTTCACCTTTATTTTTGGGGCAACCATTACCACAGCTGCACTAACACCATATTTGAGATTGCTGCACATTAGACACAAGGAACTATTAGTTCCAGTGTTACCAGGTAGGTCCGAGCTCATTTAATTTTATTACAGGCTAGAACCAAATCGGTCTGCCACACACAGGGCCTGGACCATGAGTCATTGGCTGGCATGTGCATAGGTCCTGACTTGTCATACTAAACTAAGCTGGTATTGGATTAATAGTGCCCGGCTCTCACAGTGCTCCCCTGATAACGCTACCCAGGCTTCAGGCCAAGCTAACAAGCAAAATCATGGAGCAAGCATCTTCACTGTTGCTCAACCAGACAGTGATAGTAGAAACATGTCTACTGCTATTAAGGGACTAATGCTAACCAAGGTGGAGAAAATTGACAAGTATTGACAAGTACCAGAAATGGTGTACCTGGCCTGGTACCTGACCTTGACAGTTTTACACTTTTTCCTAATACTATAATAACCCAACCCCTACTACACATACCACTAAAAACTAGAAAACATTTGGATAGTGCCAAAAAGTATGACACCACCAAAATGCAAGGAATCATCAGAGCTGACCCTCAGAACAGCTGGAAGTTGGACAGCTACCTATCATTGCTGTTATACATGGCAAAGTTAAGTCTTGATAATGATGATTCTCTGCCTCGCTTAGTCTAGATTTTTGGCAGACTGGCTTGATTATTCATTGTATTTAGATCATTAATCTGAAAGCTATAATATTGATATGGCTCCAAAGTATCACTACAGCTAAAGGTCAAGATAATATCCAGACATATAAGGGCTCTGTCACTTACAATATATCATCCTCAAAAAACAAACTTATGGTGGCACTTTGTTTATACTCCTTTTCAAAACTGTACAAAATACTGAATACGGAAAAATACTACACCATGACTTGAGTTCATAAAACAAATTACAACAATCTCCTTTTTTTGTGCTTTTTTTTTTTTCTTGTGGGGATAAAAATAGTAAGTAAAGCTGAGCGACAAAGAGAATTAATAGTAACATTATGAAAGAGTGGACTGGACCTATCACTAAATCTCACATTTAGCATGATTATTTGCAGCACCATTGTTTGTCAACCCGACACTTGGTACGCTGCTGACTCACTCGTGGCCACGGACCATACAGCATCACTGCAGATCGCCTTAATCTTGAGTATGCCTAAGTTATACATCTTAATTTGATTGGTTGTCTATTATTCCAAGAGTACACTGATTGGCTGGATGTTACCAAGGAGATCTCAAGTGATATTGTAAAATTCATACCACAGTGCAGCCTAGGCTGATAGCCACAACCACAATCCCTCACACTGCTCACCACATACCTGTGAGAGGTGGTGTTAGTCAAGTGAGCAGGTCCACTGGTGCTGCTTCACTAGTGATGTGTGCTGTGTGAGGCAGACAAGGTGGTTTCCAACCTTGAGGCTGCTGGAGCAAGAACCTGGGATCTAATACCCAATCATAACCTTTGGACCACTGGTGACTATTATATCACAACGTCAAACTTGCCAGAAACTACAAGAACACACACTGCAGAGTGTGCTTGCCTTCTCACTTCTTGGATAACAGTGACAGCATTAATTCACACAAACAGCAAGAATATGTGACTGTGTTCTCTGACAAGCAGCAGTAGAAGGGAGGTGCACCCTAGGGAGAGGGAGGGGGAGACCAACGAACCAAAGGTTGCGTGGGTTCACTGTGAAGTGATGATGTGGATGAACATCTTAATAATGATAATGCGCATGAGTATGACTGAGGGTGGCAAAATTGAGGGCTTGCATGACGACGTTATGGCAGAGGCCACAACATACAGTCTGCTTGATGACATTAAAGCAGATCTTTGAGGTCCGCTTGTTGACACTGCAGATACCATAGTATATTGTCTGCATGACTGTGCCATTGCAGGCTTGAGGCCTGAACAACAACATCACAGTAGACTTGGAGGCCTGCAATATGGTGACACAGCAAAGACTAAACAATATCAGAAGAGTAACAAAATAGCAGACTTGGCTGACTGCATGATGTCAACAATGCATGGCCATAAAATAAGCCAACATGATGACAGCAATACAGACTTGGATGGCTAGCATAACGACGACACAACAGAGACCTACAAGAGGCCTGGATGACAACGGCACAGCAGAGCCCACGTGAGGCTTTCATGACAACGACACAGCAGAACTACTGGACGATCCGAGGAATGCTGCTTAGCTCCTCACTGCACCCCGTATCTACCTAATCACTAGACTGAGGAATATCTGCCGAGTCCTGGAGAGCTCCATTGTACATATGAGCAGATCTTGTGTGGAGGATGTAAATCTTACAAGCACTAGAGTCTGTGGTGGAACTTGAGATACATAAGTAAGCACATTTAAAGTATATATAATTATCCATATAGGAAATATCACACAGAGGAGTGCTATCACTGAACAATTCTGCAACTTTAACTATAAACTTAATTATATATTTAACCTAGAGCTTAGAATTTATTTCTCTTAAAACTAAATATAACTTAATTGCTTATCTTTTGGTACATTTACATCAAAACACTGCAAAACTGTGTGTAGGTATATTCTTTTGTTATCATATAATAAGACTTGATTCATGGTAAGAACAGACTTAGATAATATTGGCATTTAAAAGTAGGACCAGTTATCCAACTGAAGCAAATGACGAGCGCAGGCAGTTCATCTCTTACTTCAGTCGAGCTTGCACCTTTGTTTCTCCTAAAATAATGGTCAACATCAGCATGTCAATACAAGTAACTTTGTATTTAAGTCACAGCACATGAACTGTTTTAGCTCCATGGTCTATATGTTGGCCATAAAGAGCATCAAAATGATTGATTTTTCTTGTGTGTGCTTGGAGCTAAGTCTTTTAAGGCATTGTGTCTTAATAAAAGTGGGATTGATATACACAAGTATGGACCAGCATAATTATAAAGGTGTATGGGTAAGACTGGGGCTTACCCGATGTAGAGGCAGGGCTCTTGCGTGTGGATGTGGTATCACATTACCACTGTGGTTACTGCACACATTCTTTTGGAAAGTGCCTTTTTTTTTTTTTTTACTTTTTTTCTTTTCTATTTTTTTTTAATGGGGGGGGGGGGGCCATGGCACTTACCTCCTCTCCTCCCTTACATGGACTCAGAGGTGAGAAGGCCATCGGGCAAGTAGGGCTTAAGTGAGGAAGGTGTGGCACGGTGTGGGTCTCCCTCCCCTATGTTGGCTCCACTCCACAGAGAGGAGCTACCTCCAGGGCCACTACTCCAGAGGTTGGAGCTGTTTCCATTCCCCCAGGAGTCCACCTTCGAACCCCCAGAAGATTGGGAAGTTGGTGTGGAGCCACGTCCAGACCCTCCCCAACTGGAGGCATTAGTTGGGCCTGGTGTGGGTGGGGCAGCTTGGCCTTGGTGGGTGGGCTGTCCCATCACTTGCTTTACTTCGCTGTCATTGGCAAATTCTGCCAAGATCGTCGTATTGCTCAGCAGGCAAGAAGAGTAAATAGATTGTGTTATTCTTACAAATGCCACATATTAATTCTATAAGGAAAAAAGCAGGAAAAACTATGTCATCTAATTAAAGAAAAACACAGCAAAATATTGTGAAACTCCTACCCTATCAAAACTTTAAAAAAACAGTTTGCAACCCCCAACTGGTACATGAATAATTCCCATCTAGCACCCTGTTGTTAACTGATACACTACACAGCATCACAAACCAAAATAGCAAAAAGAATAAAAAGAGAAAAATAAAAAATAAAAGTGGAAACAAACTTACATATTTACCATTAAAAGCACCAGTAATAAGGGACAATACAATAACATCCAAAAGAATAAGAAGCTAATCTTCTAGTATCAAATACTGATACTAGAAGACTGGCTATACCATTTATATAGTCATTAAAAAGCATTTATGAAGCATGATAATTCATCAAAAGTGCAATTACAATAGATCTCTTCCCAGCTCAGCACTACAGAAGAAAGATCTACTGAGGTTTTGTCTTATGAATGAATCATCCTTCTAGCTTACAGTTCAACAAGCATGGGCTGCTTCAAGGTATTTCGGATTTATGTTTGTATTTTTTTCTCCTCTCTCTTTCTTTTTTACTTTTTTTTTTAAGACTTTGGCCATATATACAAGTATGATTTTTAGATCGCAGCTTAAGGTTAGAGTTTTGTACCTTGGCAGCCTCCTCTCGTGAGCCGTAGTTGACGAGAGCAAAGCCGTGGTTGAGAGATAGGTAGAAGTTGACCAGCGGCCCGTGCTGCATGCACAGTGTCTTCAGGGTGGAACCATCAATCTGACAAAAAGATGTTGAAAAACTTAGGAATCTTGATAAGACTACCTTATCTAAGGGGAAAAAAAGTTTTTGCTTCAAAGACAAAAAAGTGACAAAATGAAAACAAAAGTAATAATCAGGATAATAAAACCTAAAAACTACATTCCTCACTTATCCTAGAGTGACCTAGTACTGCATCAGTATCAACTTGGCATTAAAATATAAAGAAAAGGAAAAAAAATGTAATAGTCTTATTAGATGATCATAAGTCATCTTTTAATAAAATCCACCAAGACTAAATGAATGAGACATTCTACAAAAACATTTCAGAGGAAGTGTCCCCGTTGCTTATCATAAAGCTATCCTTTCCAATCAATTATCATATACCTATCCTTGACTTTTCTGTTACAAGTGCAACTGAAAGCAATCAAAGACTCAAGAGTGAAAGGAAAAATGGAATGGCTTCTCTTCCAAAAGTATTTTTATCAGCAATAGTTATAAAATGTATTCCAACATTTTGTAGCACAATACTGCATCTACTCCATAGTTTCTTAAATTGCTCCTTTCTAATCCCTTAAATGGGACATATTAATTATTGTAAACATTAGTTGATTCAATTCATTATTTTTCTCTAAACTTTGTATCTTTTGAGATATTATACACTAATATTGTGAAACTTTTAATCTGAATTCTGGGGAGGTAATTGTGAAAATGTCAATAAATTTTCTTTCATTAAGAACTAATCGCTAAAAAATCACAAATCATCAAATGATGAAGTCAAGTTTCAGAAAACTCTCACACACACGCTCTTTAAATATATCCTAATTTTTAAGCGTTCATTATTTCATGGATGTTATCGGATTATATACACGAGATCCAAACAGGTATCAAAATGGTGTATGAGATATTGATGAAAGCATAGAAATGAAGTTGGGAAAAAGTCTCCTATAATTGATTTGAACATAAATAAATTTAAAAATTTAATCAAATCAATTACTATCACATTTATCAAAGAAATAATAACAGTAATACAGAAAAAAAAAGCAAATTATTAACCTTATTAACATTCAGTGTAAAATAAAAATGACAATACTGTCAATATCAGCACTTTACTAAAAAGAAA